TTTGTATAAATAGCAACGAAGGATCAGAGTAGAGCGTTTCGATAATGTGACGTAATAATTTGTCAAATGATGGATTATTATAACATGTTATTATAAGAGGTATTAAGTATGGTGTTAGGAAGTCGGAATGAAGGTAGATGAAATGACTTTGAATTTGATCAATGAGATCTTGAAGGACAAGTTCGTCAGATGCGATCATTATATCGAGTAATGTTTTAATGTCCAATCTTTCCAGTTTGATTTTACCGGTATACAAATATCTGAAAAATAATAATATTAATGAAACAATTCTGATAAATTAAAAAATATATATTAAAAATAATTACCTGAGAATGGAAGTAAAAACCTTTGGTGACATATTTGGTTTCTCAAAGAAAAAAATATTACCACACTTCTTTGCCCATGTGCTTGATAAAGCAGTTCTAAAATATGAACTTCTTTTACTAAGAATAACAGAATGACTTCTGAATCTTTCTACGTTCGGTTCTTCACCGACACAAATTATTACGTCAAAATTACCAGGACCATAATTAAATGGAGCATTATTATCAATTTTAATTAATCTTTCAAATTCGAGGTCATCATGGTTTGTGGAATCGGCAGGAGGACTATATTTAGGAGGATGATTATTTAAAATAATTTTAAAATGTCTTCTGAGATCTTTCAATTGTGTATCATCATAGTCAAAGTCATTTCCTGACGAGTCTTGATCACTGTATTTACTCGACCTTATAGCCTCCAAGCTTTCATCAAATAATCCGGTTATGTCCAACATTTTAAATTTATTGTTCTGTCTTACAGATTACAATAAAAAAAAGGGCAAACAAAAAAAAGAGACTCGAAGATTCGGAAAGGAATAAAAAATTAGAAAATTGTTGAAAAAATCGTTTTTATATTAATGAGTGAATTTTCTCATTTCTGATCCTATGATCTGCTTGCATATATGCAATAGGGATCTCAAGAGAAAAGCCAAATGTACGGCAAGCGTACAAACATTTAAGGGCCAAGAATTGACTGATTGAATGAGTGAATGATAATGGTAATGGTAATTACACTACGACTAAAACAGATATATTCGAAAAAAATTCCGAAAATCGAAAAAAAGCTATATTTAGTAACTTACTAATAACTTATTTGGTTTACTCTATAAGAGTATAGATGGTTAGTTGGGAAATTTAGGTTTATCTATATACGTATTACATCATTTTCTATGTCAATCATAAACCTTATTAGTTATTATACAGTTGTATACAGTTTTATTGGCAATGGCTGCTCTATTTTTAGTTTGCTATTTTTGAATTTCTGCGCATATATTAAAATTCTTAACATATTAATATTAATTCGTGACGTAAATAAAATACATGCGCAATAATTGTTATTCTAAAAAGTTAGGCGAAAATACAAAAAAAAACCACAATATCGATTCATTTTAACTTGTTCCATTTATTAAGTGTACCACAATAACGAAGAATCGGCTAAAACAAAAAGAAAAAATAAAAATAATAATAAGTGTGATTTACTTTAAAAGAAATAAGTTGCATATACAGTATTTTTATTTCAGTTGGTTCCAAAAGATTAATCAACGCCATTTATTCATTGGATTCGTAATAATTTAATGAGATAAAAAGATAATATGGGTAAGAATGTCTTGATTAACACGAAGATTTTTGGCGCGGCAGCTATTGCACAAATCGGCGCCAATTAAAGTTAATTTAACCTGAAGAAGTAATGTGCGTCCACGTGTAAGTGTTAAATACTAAATCGAGAAAAACGACTTCTTTTGAAATACGTACGTACGTACGTACGAGTTAACATGTGTAACAAGATTGAAGTGTTTATGCTTTTGCAAAAAGCAAGTTCCATTTCTTACAATTTCTCTTATATACTGATCAAG